AGGGTTCAAGCATAAATTTTAAGGAAGCTTTTATTGTAAGCAATGCATCAATATAATTAAAACCAAACACGATTCTTTTGCTTTCTTAGGCTGGAGAAAACCCTGTGCCCTTGGAGAAAATTGTTTCCCCTCTTCCTACAGGGAATCCAGAGCCTGAGCAGCAGCTGTGAAGAGTGGAGATAAAGAAAGAAGTGGAAGATGTTGGAAGTGCTTTGGGCAACGTGAAGAAGGATTTGCACTGAAGGAGCTGTTCAAGGGCCCAGCCGCAAAACAGAGACACATACATGCTTATATATAGAAGAATGTAAACCCTCCTGTATGCATACGTTAAAACGTGCATGCCTTGTTGAGAACGTAAGCAACATTCCTTGTAGATGATGGTGGTATGAGCATTTGTGCTCCTGCAGTTTGGTCAAAAGATTAGTGATGTCCCTGCTGTAATGCTAGCGTTGTCTCCTCTGCACCTTGTCTGTGGTGGCATAAGTGTCCCTTTTGATGCAGCAAGCTAGGAAAAATAGATACACATCTGGAGTTAAATAATATCTGCTGCAACGTGGGCATGTTGTAACCGTGGTGGTGGGGGAAGAGGTGCTTAACAGCTCGGACAGCAGACAGTTTGTGTGTGTATATATTAAGCGCTATAGCACCAGGTGAGATAAGCTTTTCTTACGGTTTTTGTTTCTCTGGTGCTACATTTACTATTTGTCTGGGGCTAGATTGCCTCTCTGTGGTGCTACAGTTTCCCCAAGAGAATGTTCTGAAACATGGGACAAGGAGAAATCTATTTTGGTTATTGATATTTATACACAAAAGAGCAAAAAGTACTACTTGTTGAGAAGGTGCTATTTTTTTTTTTTTTTCTTTCTTTCAGCCTCTCCATAAACTAAGGCAAAACAAATCATCTAGCTCAGAACTTTATAGAACTAATTTTCTTTAGAGCAGCTCTTTTTCTTTGCACGGTTCTGAGCTTGGGAAGCAGCGTTCACTGAGGTGGCAAGGACACAGCAGCTCCTGTCACAGCTGTGTCCACGCCAAAGCCTGCTACTGCAGAACCTCCTGGATGGGGGTGTAAGTAGTCTCAACTCCTGTGATCCAGGAAGAAGAGTTACATCTAGGCTCAGCAAGAGACAGTAATTCTTACGCACATTTTTTAGAAACATTTTTCCCAGCTTCAGACATTTGCAGCACAAAATTGGCCTTCATGTGGCAGGGGGAACTTCCAAAGGCATACAGGGATGTTAAGAATCCAGTTTGCAAAGGAAGTTCCTTGTCTTTTATAGACACTTCCTACCCTGCAAACAATCAGGGAGCAGACTGCTCTGTCCCAGTCAAACTTTCTGTTTGTCACTACTGCAGGAGAAATGTTTCTGAGCAGTCTAAAAGCTAAATTGTCTCTTTATCAAATATTCACCGATGTGTTTTGGGCACCCGCACACGTATTCATGGGGAATATTGATCCGAGTCAGTTCCCAAACAGAAGGGCTATGCTGAAAGCGCAAATTGTTCCTAATGAGTAACCTTGCCCTACTTTATATCATGTGCAGTAGTGGGAGGGATCATGTAGCTAAGTGTATTTTGTCTGTGGATAGAGTGTGGACAGCCTCAGAGCCGCAGGGATCAGTCACCAATCAAACACTGTTCTGCCACTTGTGGCCTGATGCATCCTACATCCCTGCCCGGCTCAGTCTCCTACTGATCTAAGTTAGAATTCTTCTAGCAAAAGGAGGAGCCCCAGCTGATTCCAGCAGTGCTGCAAGGATTAGTGACTGCTGGATCAGGTACAGCCTAAAAAATACAGTTTTCTGCAAAAAAAGCCAGGGGAGCTGGCTTACACATCTCAGTGCAAGAGAGAGGGCTCTCCCACATATCCCTCACCCTTAACAGTTATTACTAGCTCCTGAGATCTGAATGTTTATAATAAACTTCTAACCTGGAATATGCATTATTACTTTTTCCCTTCTCTCTCCTGTGCAAGCAGTTTGCACCGCGTTGTTTCCCTGCCTTGCTGGCTATCCAGGCCTGCAGCCTGGAGACTTGTAGCATTCCTCCCAGATGGCAATTCCCCTGAAACATTACAGCACAGCAAAGGAAGGAGAAAGTTCTGTTCTTACCGTAGCACTGCTATGCTAAGTGTACTGTGGTACACCTTGGGAAAGCCCCTTCAGTCAGTGTCAGCCTCACTAACAGGGACTGCCTCAAGTTCCTCAGTCTGAACTCACCACAGACAGGCTTTTCTGCAGAGCAGACAAACCAAACCACAAGCCAACCAATAGAAACAAAGTGGATTTCCCAGGGGATCTCTTCCCTGGTTGCTCCCAGTGCTCAGCCCCAATGGCTGAAGACGTGGTGCCTGTTGTTACCCTCGTGGGACAACAGCCAAACCTGGGGTGCTTCCCAAGTGTAGGTAAGAGCAGGAATGGAACCCAGCCCTGTTTTCATCCTGACTGACTTCACTTTTGTAGTTCTGAATTTGGTGTTCAGTGTGAACCAAGGGTTAACTTTTGGAGACTTTGATCTGTTAGTTGCTGGTCAAGCAAGCTTTGCCTGAGAACAGCCTCCCAGCACTTTATAGCCAGCACTCGCTGTACAGAAGTCGCATTACTTACTAGAGGGAATCTATTTGTCAAAGCCTTATGTTTTCTGCTATAATTGCTATTCTTGAATGCCTCCGTTTTTTGAAAAGGGGTGTTTTTATCCTTTTTAAAATACCTGCTCTCAACCTGGTTGATGTTTGTACTGGACAAGAAAGCATGCTGTATGCTCCCCTAGTGCCCTTTGTGCCACATCGCAGCGGCTGTGTGAGCTGCTACTGATGGGAAGGAAACCAGCACAGTTCCTCTCTCTCCCACTCGCTCCTCTCCTCTCTTTGTTTTTTTTTTACAGCAGCCAAGAAGTCATTGATTTTGATTAGCTCTGCAGTTGTGCCTCTATGAAGACTGGGGAGTGCTCTCTAAATGAAAAAAAAAAAAGTCCTCATCTTGGGTTTCAGCAGCCGGCGCGTGTGAAGCTGGAGGAGGAGGTTATGAGATCATAGTCTATATAGAACGCCGCATAATGTGGCTGTGAGAAAAGTCTTTATTAATTTTTAAAGCTGTACTCCACCAAGGCAGCTCCTGTCACATAGCAGAATTTCATCGTTCACGTTAAAACAGCAGTGCAGCACGGACTGCTCATCAGCTGCTCTCCCCACCTGGTGAAGTCACTTGGCCGAAGGAATTCTGCTTACAGACAGCTGTGTTACAAGGACAGAATCGAGCCCACTGATTCCAGATTCCTTAGAATTACTGTAGGTAGGTAAGGAAATAGGGAATGGGAGTTCCACCTCTCGCACTGTGCAGGATGGCAGTGCCTGCTGTCTCGTGCCTGGGACGAAAGCCACCCAGTAACAATGCAGAGCAGATCAGCCACCAGTGAGCTAACAGCCACGGGGAGTGAGAAACCCAGCCTGCTTCTGTTTCAGCGCATGTTGGCATGCAGAAATTATCCCAATTTAGCTAAGCCCATTACTCAAGCAATTTTCTTAAATCAGAAACACTTGCTAAATCAGCTTAATCTGATCTGCGAACTCGTTTTGTTTCCATATCGTGCTAAAATTATACGAGGCTTAACTGCACTGCAGAAGCAGGAGCAGCACTTCTCCTGCTGAATGTGATTGAAAACATCTGGTGTCAGCTGGTTGCTGTGTCCGCAGGCACTGAGGAGCCAGGCCTGTCCCTGCCATGTTTGCACAGAGCCATGCACTCAAGGTGCCATGGCCACAGCCCTCGTGGGCAGAGCAGGAGAGCAGCATCCTGCCATGGGGCAGAGCAGGAAGGGTACATGAACCCAAAGGAGATCCTTCCCTTCTGCACACCACACCACTGTACACAATGGCTATGGTCAGACAGCATAACACATCTCCCTTGGTATGTATTTTTAATTTTCTTACTGTTCTAAGACAGCTGTCCTAATCTCAGCAAAAGGCTGAGTTATGCATAGCAAACTACCTGTGGCTCCTGTCAGTTTGCTGCCTCTCTTCTGCCTCCACCTCAGGCTGAGCAGTATCATCACAACTCTTCTGAGAGCAGATCTGATTTGGAATCTGAGCTGCACAATTCAGTCCCCTGTCCCTGTGTAATGCTCTGAGAGTTCACTGCTCTCTGTACACTGCATTAAACTGCTTCGTGTCTCCTTACAAATATTAGGAAGCACTGGCACATGGACTCAAAATCCGAGGGCTGAGGGGAGTCTGAATCAAACAGGACTTGATCTTCTTTAGGAAAACCCTTGTCTGAATGGGGGAGAGGCATCTGCCTTCCCCTCTGAATCTGCCCTGCTCTGACCACACAAGCCCTTTTCATTCATTCAGTGTTCAGTACAACTTCTCCCCCTGCCTGTCCTCCTGGCTGGTGTCCCATTCTGGCTGCACGGAGCCATTCTCCATCAGGACGTGCTCCCAAACGTGGCTCTTCTTTCAGTACTTGAATTTCCCAAGGTTTTCAGTGTTTACAGAAAGTGAGTTTGACAGACACTGATGGCATCTGGGCCTGGAACTGCTGGTCTCCTCCCATTAGTAGCTATAGCTGCCACCGCGCTGCGCGCTGTGTTGGGGGATGTTCACAGCATGGCCTTTCCAATCACTCCAGTTTAGCAAAAGAAATCTCCCCCTTAACTGCAATCCTTGGGACATTTGATGAGTGTCCGGCCTGCTCCTGGACGCGTTTCTAACAGGACAAAATAGATGAGATGCACTGAGTTCCTTGCACAGCTCTGGTTTAGCACGGCTCAGATGTAAGCTCTTGCAGAGGCACTGTGGAAGTTTCCACCCTCAGAAAAGCAAGAGCAAAGCGTACGCTTGCTGTTGATACAGATTCACAAAGTCTCCTGTTTGTAGTTGGATGTGGCTTCTCTCTTTTGTAAAAGGAATTTCATATGCTGAGACTCTTTGTACATATTTATAATGACTTTATTAAAAAAAAGAAAAACTACTGTTCAATGGCAAAAAAAAAAAAAAAAAAAAAAAGGCTCTGTTTTTTATTTCTGCTCTAAAGTTTGAGAGAATCGTTTCCTTCCACACGAACCAACTGTTTGCCCATGGAAACCAGCAGGAATTTCCTGTCCTGCCATTAGAACAGACATCACCCTGTCCCTGTGGTCTGTGGTTCCCATTCTGCAGGCATGCACCGGGCTGTAGTACAGAACGGCGCTTCTGGGTGCACTGAGAGCCTTGCTTGCTTCCTTCCTGAGCTCTCCATCCCCATCCCAGACAATCTGTTCCCACCAGAGATACTCATTGGATTCCTTGCCTCGGTTTTCCACTTTCATGGGATCCACAGATAGGAATCAAAGTGTGTTGATACAAAACATACGGCTATTCCTCCTCCCTGTATCTCTCAAAGCAGATGTGAGCCATCTCCCCTGCTCTGCCTCACCTTTCTCCTCCAGCCATACTTAACCATTATTTCCAACAGAATGTTGAGCCTTAATCCTGTTACCATTAGCTGCTGTTTGCTTTAATTCTTCTCCCCGTGGAGTTTCACAGCAGGAGGGGAAGGCGGCACTCAGTGCCTGCGCAGAGGCTCATGTCCCCCAGGTACAGCTCTTCCTGATTACCCACTCAAGTGGGATTGTAACCTTACGGCCATTTCCATAGCAATGAGCACAGAAGATGCCACAAAGCCTAATGAGACACCTTCTGTGGGCAAGGAACACAAAGCAGAGGTTGTGCAGCAAAGGAGAAAGCTCTGGCAAAGGAACAGCAGCTCCATTTTCGTGCGAGTGCTCCTGCAGCATGCTCAGCAGAGATGGAAACTAGCAATCTCCTCTTCCTCAGACACCAAGAGTGCTAATTTTCCTGTTAACAACACAAGGCATCTCCTAAAAGAGCTTTTTCTGAAGCGGAGCTGCTAGAATGAAGCCTGCACCTCTCAGGTGGGCAGTCCAGCTTGGATACGAACCAGGCTGGCTCTTGGAGCAATGCAGCTGCTCTTGTACAAATCCCACCCTCCAGACAGGAAATCTCACTGCAGCCAGGCTCTGCCCTGTATGCCCTGTATCCCATGCCCCAGCCCTCCTGCTCGCAACAGAGCCACCCGGGCTCTGTGCTGCACAGTGCTTTTGGACCAGGTGGGCTGCAGTGCAAAGCAGTGAGCAGTGTCCTGTCACACTGCTGCGGTTGTGCTGGGGAGCGTGGTGCACCTTCACTCGTGAGGTTGGCACCTTCAATTCAAACCAAACCTGACTTTACTCTCTCTTTGCCTCCCACGGCTCTCCCCATCTGCCAGGAAATCAGAAAGGCCCTCATGAAAACTAAAGAGGAAAAGCATTCCCAAGGAAAGAAAGCATCAGCTTCAGCTCCACCAGCACGGAGCTCCGTCCTGGACACATCAGGAAGATGGCAACACAGCACACAGTTTGTGAATCAGTCACAGAAACACAGCTGCTGGGATATGACACAACTCCAAGCCCCGAAAGAGTCTTTGGGAACGTGGTTCTAAAGAGTGGTTTGGAATTGTTCTCGAAGGTAATGTAACAGCAGCTGTGAAATGCTATGAGGTTACAAACTCAAGGACGTTACAGCCAGAGAACAACAGCTTTTTTCCAGTGTAGCAGGTCACACACGTGCAGTGGGGAGTGGAGGTACAGCCTCTTACTACGTGCAGTGTTTACCTCTACTAGAAGGGCAGGAAAAAGGAAACACACCAATCAGTTTCTAACCACGTATGTTCAAGGAAAATTCTTGGCTGCAGCTTAGCCAGCTTAGCCATGGAGGTCACCACAACAGAAGCACGTCTCCCTTGCCTTGGAGGATGATTTCTGGCTACCAACAATTGCTGCTCTACTGGTTGTTGGACAGAGAGTGCTGGGAGAACAAGCAGGTGATTAAATAGCAACATGGGGTCAGCAGATGTTCTGGTCCTCCTACTCTCCATGCAGGCCATTCTGTTGGGTGATATGTGTTGGCTTTAATACACCTGGAAATGAGCAGAGGTGGTGCCGTCCTTCCAGCAACGCAGGGTTTCTACTGTGACAGAACGGCAAAGGGGACAGGTCTTCTCCCTGTCAAACCAGAGGCAGAGGCATTCTTCACAAAACACGTGCTGCAGAGACAGAAGGGCACTGTCACAACATGGGCAGCAGGTCTGTGCTCATCCCTACGTGTGCAACAACCCATTCAGGTTAATGGGGAAAGAGAACCCAACTAGCAGTCCTTGGGTGATAGGAAAAACAAATCCCAGCATCGTTAGTACCCCAGTTTGCCCAAAGGTAAGGATGTTTGTTGTGGTTGGACTTGATCTTTAAGGTCTTTTCCAACCTGAGCAATTCTATGATTCTACGTTATTCCAGCTCTCTCTAGAAAGGATTAAAAGAGCCCAATAAATTTGCTCTAATGAAATAGCTGAGAATAGAAGCACGCTTTAACTCTCCTTTACCCTGTTTCCACCCCCAATGCACTGGGTTAGTTTACAACCCTTTGCTTAGCTCAGACAACCTCCTTTCTTCCTCCTCCCCCTTACAGTATTTGTTTCTGCTCACAGCTCCCCGTAGCTTCCACAGTCTCAATTTCCTGCTAACTTGTTAGTAGTTCAGTAGGCTTGCCATCTCCCTAAGGGTCAGATAGAAAAATCTTGCATTCCAGATCCAAGGTCTGGAACTGCCAGAGGGGAGTCCTGGGACTGCAGGGCTGTAATCAGACCCTACAGAGTGGAGTTCATATGGCTCAGCTTCATATGGCTATCCAGAAGGGGATATATCAAATTGGATATCCTATATCCAACACATATCCAATATATATATATTCAATGGATATCCTATATCCAAGAGCTGCCAGAATTGTCTAGGCTGGCTATGCCTCTCCCTAGCTGCAGAAATGCCACCAGGGGAAGGTGATGTGTGAAGCTCGGGGTCTTACCTGGCACATAAGGATCAAAGGTTCCCTGAACTCTGCTTGGCAGATGGCACAGATGTCCCCTGCCTCACTGCACTGCTGGCTGGTGGCACGGACCCCGTAGGTCTGTTAGGAACAATGGGGGAAAAAAATAACACTGTCAAAAGGTTTGAAGATGATCTGGTTTGTGCTGGAGAATACACGCAGTGCTTTTCACACTCAGATTTCCTGCAAGACATGGGAAGGGAAGTGGGGCTACTCCACTGTGTGTGGGGAGGAGAGGTTTGGGAACTGGCATGCAGAATTTGGGCAGTCTGGCATCCTGTGTTCTGCCTTGTCTCCCCCTCGAGCCAACTCCATCTTTTAGCATTTCCACTCGTGGAGTAATGATAATGAAATTTAATGAGCTCAACAGGGAACTGAAAGGATTAATTCAGCATCATTTGCAGAGGTGTTTAGATGGTGGGAGGCGTTACTATGAGCAAGTCAGACAACAGAAGGGTAACAGCAGCACCCTGGGGTGTCCCACTTCTCCTTTTTGGGATCTAGAAGGTAAATGTTGCTTCTCCTACTGTAACACTATCATAAGGGGAATGGAAACATGCTGAGGAAAAATGCCCAGCACAAACCCACAGGACAAGCAAGGTGAACTCCAACAAATTTCCACTATGTTACGTTCCTTTCCTCTACATCTTTGGTTTTAACACTTTAAAATACAAATCAGAGCAGATCTGAACATCAGTACAGCACAACACTGGGGGCAATTTCTGTGTGCTGCAGCATCCCTTTGAATGGCAATACACACCAGGCACTGCTTTAACATCTTTCTCATGCACTGCAGCTCAAAGCATTGCCAGCTTTGTGAAGCTCTGTGGTGGTGGGTTCACCCATGCCACACAGGGCTCCCACTCTGACTGGGCAGCCCAGGCTTCCAGCAGCCTCTCTATCACAAACAGAACAGAGCAGATGTCAGAATGGGCTCCCAGTCTCCCCGATGAGGGATGCTGGCTTACCCAGCCATGGACAACGTGCTATTTTGATTCTGTAATTCTGATACACTGAGCTATTTTCAACTCTGTCACTCATTAGTGAGAAAAGCTCCAATTATGAAACAGATGACCACTTACCTGTGGGGTGCAAAGGACCTTCAGTGCTTTCCGAACACTTCCCACACGGCCACAGATGTCAAAAGACTGCAACAAAGGCAGATATTTTTCAGGACGTGTGCATGTACACAACTCAGAGACTCAGGAAATGCGTGGCAGGGTTTCTGCAAACGGATCCTTGGAGGGAGGAAAGATCCCAAGCAACAACAGTGCTGAAAACGTTCCATGGAAATTATGGAATGCAGTAAATGTGAACCAGCAGTGCAGCAATGGAATACAGCTCAAAGACTTCACAGGGCAGAAAGAGGAGCAGAGATCAGAGCACTGCAGTAGGGGAATGTGTCCACCCTAATACAGACCCTTTCCCATCCTAAGACCAGAAATAAGGCCAGAAAACACCACAGTCATCTTGAGAGAGAAGGAGGGGAATGTGGAAGGGTTGGAAACGGCTTTCCTCAGCCTGTGGGGAAAAGAGGATTTCCAGGGCTCTCCCACACAGCTTGGGACTGCAGGGCCCAGCTGCTGTTAGGAGGGAAGGAGTGGGAATTGCCTGTCCAGCTGGAGAGGAGTGCAGTGATTAAACAGCATCAACAGAAGGAATGCCTGAGGAACGATAAGCAGGATTGATGCTGGCTTGCTCCCACTCGCCTCAAGAAACCTTAAAAGTCAGGAAGGGAACGAGTTCCCAGCACCCACAGATCAGAAAAGGGCACAAAGTAATGATGCTGAAAATGATTTCTGAAGAGAGACTGAAAGATGTAGATACTATCAGCTTGGCAAAGAAGTACAGGAGTGGGGGAAAGGATGGATGATAAGCTCTCTACAAACATATAAGGCTCAGCAAGAGAGGAGAACTGGCAAGTGAAGAAGACACAGCACTACTACTGAAATGGAAAACAGCTGAAAACCTAATCTGATTTGCCATCTTCCCTACCTGCTGGCAGGGCTCTGTGAACTAGATAAGAAGAAATAATTGGGCAGAGAACAGTTCTGCATTAGCCAGGAGAAAGGCCAGATGTCACAACAGGCCCCCTGCATTTCTCACCTGGGTGAGGAGGAGCTCGGAGGGCAGGGATGCAGAAGGTGTGGAGTGGCAGCAGAGTAGCAGCATAGAGGCACCAAAATGCCTGGGCTTGGCTTTCTTCTGAGCATGATTAAGTGGGCTCACTGCAGGGAATGCCAATGAGATCATCGTGCAGTAGATGTGGAATCAAATGAAAGCACCAATAATGCTTCCAGTCAGCATGTAAAGAGCTCCCAGGGTCCTTCCAGTAATGCTTCCAGTCAGCAACTAGCACTTGAGGCTGCCGACTACTACAGATTTTTTCTCCTCTAACAAGGATGGGGATCAGCTCCCTCCCACAGCACAGCCCACAGCCTTTTCTGGTTGCTCTGCTCCTAATGTGAATGGCTTTGCTCTGGCTCTGATGTCTCCTGTTCTTCCAGCCTGTTTCCCCTCCTTTATTTTTCCTCCAGTTTCCTATACCCCCAAAAGATGCACATCCTACAAGTCCCTTTCACATCCCATGCACTGATGCCTATGTTGCACCCATCATCCTCCTAGCAGGTGGATTGTAAATCGGGTTCCCAGCAAACAAGTGCTCTCTTATGTCAATAGAAGAGCAGCTACAGTTTTGCTAGTTTGAAGAGTACATGCCTGAGACAGAATTCAAAGCAAACACTGTCATACCCCATGGTGTTTGTTCCCTCTAGCATCTCTCCTACCCTGAGCCGATGCTTCTGTTCGGGATAGGGAACACTAAGAGCTCATTGCCTTTATTTACAAACAAAAATCAGAGGTTTCCATTGACATGGTCAGAGCACCCAGACAGCTCCCACTGTGCTCTGTGTGGGCAAAGGGGATGCAGCCCCAGCCAAGCCCTGGCCTTTTGCCAGACGTACAGAAGGTCTGAGTGCCAAATTGGCTTCTGTGGTTTTTCTAATGTGGTTTGTGGCTTTGCTAATGTGAACTCCTTTGGGTATATTTTCAGCGTCTCCGGCAAGGAATGAGACCTGCAACTCTTGTGATGGTAAATGGGATGCAGATACCTGGTATTACATGACCTGCATTGGGAGCATGCTCCTGCTCTTCTCTCTCATTTCCAAACAAGGTCTCCAACAGGCACAGGTTTACTCCTAACCTGGCCACACGTGCTGTGCTGAGCTGCTGCCACACACTGACATGGGACACACAGGCCCTTGTCCCTCCACCTGTGCTCCGCTTGGCTCCCCTCCTTGCAGGTGCAGGAGGGCCCCAATGCTTTTGGACAATGACTTGTCCAGATGAGAGAAATTGCACGTAGAAGTGCAGGACAGCTGCCCTTCTGCAATTGTCACTTCCCTTGCACAAGCAGGGATGCCAGACAGATCACTTGAAGTCTGTCCCTGTGTTGTGATCTGTCTACCTGACCCCCACAAGGCCAGAAAGCCTTGCAATGGATTCCCCAGGGAGATTCACACAGTAACATCTCTGTCCATCACGCAGACATCACGTGTCCCTTATTCTGGCAGCAGATTCCCACGACCTCCTCTGCCTCCTCTGCCTGCCGTATGGCCCACTCCTGTACTACACGTAGCTGTAGCTGCAGGCACATGATGGATTAAGAGCCATCGTTTGATAGTTATGTGGTTCAGCAACCCACCAGCTCCCAGCTCTGTATGTTCAGACTTTTCTCTCCGTTCTTCAGTCCCGCAGGCCCTTTTTCCCATGCTGAAAAGAACATGCAGCAAGCCAGACTTACTTGCACCTTCTCAGGGGAATGGATAACAGTGCATCTGTTGTTTGCTTCAGCTGCTGCCCTGCCCCGACATAACGAGACTTACAGCTACTTCTAGACCTCAGGTCTGTGACATGCCTACAAGTCACACCTATTCACTTACAATTGTATAGGCAGACTCTATGCCTTGTTATTTTTGAGCAAGCATCGGTTGCATTTGTCTGCCACTGGGACCCTTGACTTGTCTCAGAGATGCCAGCCCCTAGAATGGGGCGAGAACTGCCTGTTTGTCCAGGCAGGACCTGGAAGTCCTTGAAGCTGCCTGCAGCACTCAGTGCTGTGCGTAACAGAATACCTGCTCTCTCTCACAAGACAGAGAGAAACATTTAACTGCTGCAATCCCTCGTGGTGTTGAATCTACAAGCCTGGAGACAGCAAAGCTCTCTTCCAGCAGTGGCCCCCCACAGCTCCGCTGTCATTCTCTGCTAGCCTTCACAGAATAGAGACTATTAGAGAGCAGCAATGACTTCATCAGCCTGATGCAACACTGCTGAGCAGTCACACGTCTCCCTCCAGCTCACCGATGCCCACACAGTGCTGAAGCAGAATGCTCTGGCAGTGAAGCACAGGGCTGTCCCTAGCTGCTGCAGCTTCCCTTCCTGCCTAGCGATGGCAACATCTAGAGGTGCGTTTCTCCCCCCCAGCTGTGCTTCTGGCTCTGTTCCTGCTCATTAACGAGGCGCTGCTCACCTTGCAGAGGCTGTACAGGATGATCAGGATCCCTCCTAGGAAATAACTGCTGGATGGGTCATCTCCCATGATGTATTTGTACCATAGCTGGATGGGGACGAGGGATCGGAACAACTGGCTCAGCTCTTCAATAACCAGATAAAACTTCCCCTGTTAAAAAAAGATAGATGATCAGCATCAGGAAATCCAAAGAGGTGCAAAGCTTGAAGCTTATAGGACTTGTGTTCACCTGTGCAGTTTGTTACCCTATGCAAGGACCCATGAGACGCAGTTATCTTTGTGGCCACCCAACCCGGTGCCTACAAAGGACAACTGCAGTGTTTCTTTGTGCTCCTCTCGCTCTTTCACTTATCCATCTGTTATTTTACATTTGTGAATCTGAAGCTTTTAGATATGGCTGTGTATCTTCTTGCATATCCGTACAGCACATTAGCAGGAGGGGTCAAGGCTTACAGGTTTACATATATAAAACGTAGATACTATCAGTAATGAGAAAAGGAAAACAGGACAGATCTTTTTCAAGCTATACATCTTCTGAAGGTGCAGAGATTTAAATGCAAGGTGACACCATCTCCATGATGGCTTTGCAGATCATCCCAAAGAATCTAATTGCCTATTTGCCAGTGTCCTTCCCTTACCACTCAGGTGCTGGGATATCTACAGTACACTGGCTCTGAAAAACCATCAAGGCACGTTACACTCTAAGATGCCAATTTTTCCTCTCTTCCTTCCCCTTTCCCATGCCTTTGTTTCTCTGATTCAGAATCAGAAATCAGAGAAGTCTCCACACAGCACACTACAGGATTCCTATGGATGTTGTCTGCTAAAAGCAAAACAACTGCAACAAATTCGTTGGCACTCCTGTGTGACCTAATGTGTGTGCTGCTGCTCTGGATGGGGGATTGGATCAGATGATCTTTTGGGGTCCCTTCCAATCCCAGGCATTCTGTGAAGCAATCCTATTATGGAATCCTTTGAAGCAATCCTATCTCCATAAGGGGAAGGTTGAGTTGTGCCTGCAGGTGCAGACAAAGGGTTGCTAAAGCAAACTTCATCCCAGTATCAGATTGAATGCCACAAATGCAGCAAGGCAAACTTTCCTGAGGATGTTAAGGTAGAGAAAGGGGTGGGGGTCTCCCAGCCTCAATAAGGAGCTATCTGTGTTCTGTCCCACAGGGTCTAAGAGGGAGAAGTGGCGACTGCACAGCAAGTCTCTTCAAGCTGTGGGCCCAGAACTATGCTGACAGTGTAGTGACGTTATCCAGACCGCAGAAATATTTTAATGCCAGCTTCCATTCGATCCTAACAGGGAGAAGGGGGAAATTCCCCTGGAATTCTGCTGTGCTGTCCCCGTTAGCTTTGTCATCAGTGATGTCAGCTCGGGTCAGCAGCCGTTTGCAGAGATGTGGGGTGGGATGAAGCCCCACCGCCCGGCAGGACAGCGGCAGCCAGCGCCCTTCCCTGGGGCTGGGGATGAGATCACTCGGCGGCCATAGCGGCAAATCGAATCCTTCCGAGAGCTCTGGCATTCTCATGATCTCATATCCCCCCCGGGACAGGGAGTGAGGTCACACCAGCAGTTGCTAACGGACCCGGGCTGTTTTCTTCCTCCCCCATCTCGTTAATCCCAGGTGGCATCACGGAGCAAAAATGTAACGGCGACAATGCGTGGGGCCGAACGCAAGCAATTTATTAAATTAGCACGGAGGGCCTCGTGCCTCCGTACCATCATCGGTTATTTCTGGAGCCTTTGTGACAGAGGGTCACAGCCTGCTAATGACTGCGCTGCCGTTCCCTTCCCTTCACACAGGCGTTTCCCCACCTCCCCCTGCTCAGCCAGCGCTGATGAAAGCTACCAGCAAGCTGCAGGCTGCCAGCTGCTCGGCTCCTCCATCCTCCTGCTGGGCTCAGCATCTTTCGTTCGGCCTCGTTTCCCTGGCAGGACAGGCTGGCCCGGGTCACTGCTTGCTTTCCCGTTGCATCAGATGGATTTTGGGGCATCTGAAGGCTGAAATCAGGACGAAGCTGGAACTCCTCTCCCTCAAAGCTTTTGAGATGCTGAAGTGGCTGAGCCTGCAGCACCACATGAAGGTGGGTCGATGGCTGCAGGACTCCGGAACAAATGTGCCACGAGTGACAAAACTCCATGTTTTCCAGCCACAAAACTTGGACCCTTGACAAAGCTTCACTAATTCCTCCCTGCCGTGATGTGAACCTGCAGCTCGCAATGTCCCAGGACTGCTTAGCACCCTCACAAGAGCACAGGGAGGTTTCCAGTCGAGGCACTGTGCTGTTCCCATCACCACTCGGCCCTTAGGAGAGGCCCTGCGGTAGCTCAGTGATCACAGGGGGGGTGAGCAGCACAAGGGCAGCAGAGCAGCACTGAGAATTAGTGCTATGGTAAATGTTTACAGATAGAGCTTGTCTCAGTGCAACACCAGCCCTTCTCAAGCTGGGGAAAGTGCTGAGAAAATGGAAGTGGTTCTGCAGAGGGCCGTGCTGAGGATAATTGTGATCTTCTGAGCCAGAAGCTTAGAAAACAAGGTTGTTAGCCACAGCTTCAGCAGCAAAACAGTCTTCTGATAGCAGGAAACCACTGCAGGCAGCGCCCATCATCTGTAAGTGCACTCAGTGCTCCGTTCTGCCTTCTGCTCTTCAGCTCTGTTATTTCTTGGCTATCCAGGCTGAAGTTTTCTGAGCTGAATTGTGTGAGATCTTGAACTTCTGCTATTTTTCATCCATATTAAGAAGAATTGTGTGTTCTCTTAAGCGTCAATACAATTATTGCTCCTATACAGATCTGCTTCGGAATGATGACTGGAGGTAAGGCAAGCACTGCTTCTCCTTCAGGTGACTTCTCTTATTTCATGGAAACCCATAGAATCACAGAATGGCTGGGTTGAAAAGAGCCACAATGCTCATCCAGTTCCAACTGTGTGCAGGTCGCCAACCAGCAGCCCAGGCTGCCCAGAGCCACATCCAGCCTGGCCTTGAATGCCTGCAGGGATGGGGCATCCACAGCCTCCTTGGGCAACCTGTTCCAGTGCCTCACCACCCTCTGTGTGAAAAACTTCCTCCTGATATCCAACCTAAAACTCCCTTGTCTCAGTTTAAAACCATTCCCCCTTGTTGTGTCAATGTAAATCTAAGCACCATGTGGTACAGCTTACCACATCTGCTGATGGATGAAGAGGTGTTACGGAAAAATAACACGAAATCACGTAATTAAAAAATTAATCATAATAACGGGGAGCAGTTACAGCCGCAGAAGCAACACTAATTCCTACACACAGTAACCAAGCACTGACTTTGGGCTCCCATTTGACATAAGGCTTTGCACAAGCGTGCATGTGCTTCCACAGAAGGAAATGGAAGAGGCTTTACACCACGGAATTAAAACGGGATGTAAAAGAAGTGAGACAAGTTGCAATGAGGCAACTGTAAGTTGTGATTAGCACTCAAGGGAAGTTCCAAGTCTCACTTGCTCTGCTGCCAGCAGCATTAGGACATACACTGAGGCAGGAAGATGCTAGAAACACTTCGAGACCTGCTGACAATTTGGATCAGAGGAGAGCAGACTGCTGAGATCTCAAATCACACTGTAAGGAAGGAGCAGTAAACAGCACTGTGACATGGAGGATGCTGGTGAAAATCCACGCAAGGCTGATGAGAAGCAATTCCAAAGCAGGTCTAGAAGGACTAGGAGATTTTCATGGTTAGTGCACAGCACTTCTGCCACACACCTCAGACAGCTTAAACTGGGAAGTTAAACTTGGAAGGTGCTTGAGAGCACTGTTTTCTTTAAAGTTTAGCAGCAGCGTTCAGCAGCAGTGACTTTCAGAGCCTGTTAGGGAGAAGAAAGAGTCCCAGTTTCTCAGCACTCAGGCTTATGCTTTAGTTTCTTTCTTTCTTCAACAAATCCCTTAAAGCAGCTGCAAGCAGGAGGCATTTACAGAACCATCAGACCTCCTATGGCTCTAGAGGAGCAACGCAGTGTTCTCTAAGCAGAGTGAATCTACTTCTGAGCGAGTTTCCCCCAGAGAGATCCAAGATCCTCAAGGAGAGGAGAACAAGAGGATAGCCCATCGCCTGTCTAGCCACACTGCTGGAGGAGATTAAGATTAACTCTGGCACCAACCAGACAAGGAACAGGAAGACCATACTTGGACATTCTTTGTACCATACCACTTCTGTTCCTACTCCCAGTACTTGTGCAATTTGTTTTAATGCCTCCGTGCTTTTGATGAACAGCATCCAGAGGACACAAACATTCCGAGCAATAATTCTTTCCCACCATGTATGAAGAAAGGTACTATACCAGCTCCTTAATTAATTGTTTCATGCATACTCTGCACCAGGATGAAAGAGGGGCTTCTTTCCTCTTAACACAAGCTTCTGGAAGAGGCTGCAGCCTAGAGGAACTGCTATGGCAGCAGCAAACTGCTCCTCCTCCCCCATGATCCAGTGGGATCTGTTCTGTGTGATGGGTTGTTCTATAGGAATGCAGTGTGCAAGGTGAGCTAGGTGCTCAAGGAACTTAAATTCTGCACGTGCAAATCCCCTGTGTGACCAAGGAAGGGTCAGTCTGACCAGCGAGAGGCTGGGTCCCAAAACTCTCAACGATGGTATCTCATAGTACTGAGCTCTGATGGCAAATGGAAGCAGACTGCTGGAAACCCGAACCACTGTGCTTATTTTCCTTACAATAATTGTTTAATTACACAGGGCTGTTCACAGAGACAGAAACAGGTGGTGACACGATAACTACAGACATCCTCATGCTCCATTCTTACACAGAAGAGCACTGGGGCTACTTGAAGTTAAGCCAGTTTCCACGATAGAGCTGTAACCACCAGAAAACTTAGGCTGCACCTGAGAAAGGTATTTGGTCCAAAGTCAGAGTACAAAGTTATGTAAAGAATGGCTGTCACACACAAACTGAGGTTTTTTCCAACCAAATCTGTTGAAATGGTACGTGAAGAAAAAAACAAACAAACAAACAGAACTAAACACACAAAACTAACCAACCAAAAATGCACAAGCAACCATTCCCAGAGATGCAGTGAGGTTCTCTCAGTGCTGGTTCATACACTTGCCACTGATGCAACCTGAGCAGTCTATAGAACAAACCTCACATGAGTAATGCTAGTATGACCCCGGACTTAAACTCATTTGCAATGTCTAGATTCATCTTTCAAGCAGAACAGACAAGTATTTACTCAAACAGTAATTTCATGCTATGCTTTCAACAAACGTTACTGTTTTCCTTGTGAACTTCCAGCCTTCTAGACATGTAGCTCTGGGCTTCCCTGGCGTTCTCATAACCTGCACAGAACATGCAGTGAAAATTCTGACTTAGGGCCTTATTAGACCCTGCTATGTGCCTTTCTCCCCTGTCTATCTCAGGTTCTTACACAGCTCTTTTGTCCTGCTATTCCTTCCCTACCCCACCCCCACATTGCTCTTTGCTCCCCAGGATATCAGCTTAGATTGCTGACAGCACCATGAGGAGGGGATGGGAGACTTGCAGGCACTTGGGATTTCCTAAGCAGAAATCTTTGGCAAATGTCTTTTTATTATTTATTTCCTTATTTTTAATTCCACCCCCCTCAAGCTGTCATTCCTTAGCAGTGAAAATGAAAAGCTGCCATTTACGTGCACACAACAATGCAGGCTGCTGCAGGCCACATGGCTCCTGCAGTTTAATTTACTTTAATTCATTTTACATTGAACCAAATGATCTTATTTGCTTATTTTAATAGACAGCCTTCAACATACAGGGTGGGAGCCAAGCTCCCCCCAAAGAAACTGCCAGCCCAGCTGCCATTAAAAGTTGCACTGAGCTTTGAAGGGTACAACACAGCCCTCGGGGTGAAAGGACATCTTTAACCAGGTTAACCACCTTCTCTCCCAAACCTCAGTGCAGAGGTACAAGATCTGACTCTGATTTGGGTCACTTTCCTTTCTTTGCTGCTTTTTTCTGTTACGCACACACTATTCTTTCTCCACGACTTTCTTGGCATCTCTGTTTTTCCAGGCTAGTTCGGAACCTGGGAAACTCTGATGTTTTTACATTTTCATTCTTCCCTTGGTGGGGAAGATTCTGTGTCTAACATATTCAAGCTTGGAAAACTTTGTGTAGATAAAGCAGTCCATGCTTTGCATTCAAGCAATGAGTATTGTTCTGGTTCCTGTCAACCTTTCCTGGGCCCAAAATGTTTACTGCTGCCTGTATTCAAACTGAAAAGACAAACACCTTTTTCTGTATCTTAACGTTACCTTGTTTTTTTCTCAGTTACAGCATGAGTTCATGCTGTAGTAAATCTCATTCTGAATATGGTGAAGCTTCAGGTTGTCCTTCAGCTGTTGCAGTGAGTCCAGAATGGGGCCACAAAGATGACCAAAGGGCTGGAGCTCCTGTAAGAAAGGTTGAGGGAGTTGGGCTTGTTCAGCTTGGAGAAGAGAAGGCTGTGGGGAGACCTCACTGAGGTTTTCCAGTACTTGAAGGGAGCTTACAAGCAGAATCACAGAATGGCCAGGGTTGGAAGGGACCTCAAGGATCATGAATCTCCAACCCCCTGCCTCATGCTGGGCCACCAACCTCCCCATTTAATGCTAGACCAGGCTGCCCAGGGCCCCATCCAACCTGGCCTTGAACACCTCCAGGGATGGACGGGGCATCCACAGCCTCTCTGGGCAGCTGTTCCAGCACCTCACCACTCTCTCTGTAAAGAACTTCCCCCTGATGTCCGACCTAAATCTTCCCTCCCTCAACTTAAAACCATTTCCCCTCGTCCTGCAGTTATCTACCCTTTCAAAGAGTTGATTCCCCTCCCCTCCGTAGGCTCCCTGAGCAGGGAGGGAGACTGACTTTCTACGTGGTCTGATAGTGCTAGAACAAGGGGGAATGGCTTTAAATTGAAGGAGAGATTGAGGTTGGATGTTGGGAAGAAATATTTTACTCAGAGGGCAGTGAGGCACTGGAACAGGTTGCCCAGGGAAGCTGTGGATGCCCCATCCATGGAGGCATTCAAGGCCAGGCTGGATGTGCCCTGGGCAGCCCGGTCTGGTGGCTGCTAACCCTGCACATAGCAGGGGGTTGGAACTGGATGATCTTTATGGTCCCTTTCAACCTAACTCATTCTGTGATTCATTTCCATTGCCAATGAGAAGCCTCTTTTTCCTTCTAAATCTGTACTGGATCCAAGATGGTTACCGATGTCACCTTAACCAAATGCTGCCCTTCCTGTGATGGGGCCATACTAAGAATTCATGACCATATACTTGAGACTGGGAGAACTGCTCTAGCCAAAGTTTTTTATGCTCACTGTCCAAGTGAAAAGATGCATCTGAGCTAAGTGGAATTTGATACTACTCACTGCTTTATTAATGACTTTAATGATAGAACCAAGCAGGCTTGTCAGATGCGCAGTTGAGGCTAAACTGAGAAGTACATTGGAAGAAAGATTCATAATCCAGAGTCATTTGACAGAATAGAGAAATGGTCTGTAAAACATGGGGGGCAATTCGTTAAAGAAACAAAGCGAGTCCAGCAGAGAACAATAAGAAAAACAAAGATCTGGAATGAATGAGTCTGAGGAAAGACTCAAATAATTGTTTCTTCTATAGAGAAGACTGAGAGGACATACAAAGGTTTGAGTGTGTGAGAGGAAGAACAATCTGATCTTTCTTCAGCCACAACGGATATGGAGAAGTAAGAGATTTAAGAGAAGGACATTGAGAGGCAATGTATCACATGAAAAAACGATGCAAGCGTCAGTGAAAACAATATAACAGAGGAGACAAGAATCTCAAGGAGCAGTATGAAAAGCCAGACTGGCTTTCAAAGTGCCTTTGAACTTCCCAGACGAAGAACATCTGAAGAGCCTGCTCAGAAGTTGGCCATGGAATGATCAAAGCCCCTGGTATTCCACCCATTGGCAAGCTTTATCATCTGCTACCACCAGCAAGAAGACAATGCAAGGAAATTCAAGATTAAATACCTCTATCCCAAAAGCTGCTGCACTGAACTCTGTCCCTGACAGTGCAGTAATCCCCACTTCAGGTCTTGCATATTAAGGAGCTAGAGGCTGCCAGCTTTATCCATTGGGGCCCCTGGTGAACATTCCCTGGGGGAAAAAAAAAGCCCATGACCTTACAGTCTACCCTACACATTTATTTCCCCAACAGCTTGCTATCTGTGCTGATTAAGGAACAGCCATCCAGTTCACAAACCGCAGGCTAGGCTTCCAGCATAAACACTAAAACAAGCATTTGGGAAGGAAGACAATAATTCTGTATCTGGTAAATATTAAGACAGGAGGTGGCAAGTACCTTGGTAAGAATTTGGTTGATGTTACGGTGCTCTACAGTGCAACAGAACTGTTTTAACTCAGAACAAGCTTATTTGGGATAGAACAGTCGCTTGAAAAACAAGATGAGTAGAATTGTGCTGGCTTGTGGAAGTGATCTGGGTGAGGGCTCAGGGAAAGAGCTTGGCTATGTGGTTGCCAGTGATGGTTTCTGTGGCATCCTGTGGTTCTCTTGGAGCTCTCCCATTCCAGTTTGATCTCGGTTAATTTGTTACACCAGATCTCATCCCTGCTTGGCAGCGTATGGATGCAGTGTATGGAGCAGGATAAAAAACAAATCCAGATCCATAGCAGTAGGTAACAGCAGTCTCAGATGTCAAGGGACAGCGAGACCATCAACAACATCCTAAGACAAAAAGGACTTTAAAAAAAAGTGAGAAGTACTGCTATCCAGAAAAAGGTATTAAAAAATGAAGCATCTGTGCTCTGAATCATTACAGGCCCTTGACAGATGTGATCTTACCAGCCTCCCACTGTAGCTGCAAATAAAGCCCCCTTCTCTTTCTTCTCTCCCGACAAGGATTAATGAGTACTTGGGATAGCTCTCAGACAAGCAACCAAAGGCTGTGAACCTCTTCCAATGCTGCCATTTATCTTGGGAAGACTATTCACATCATTTTTTTCCTCCCCTCCCCAAGCTGGATTATGCTCTGACCCAGCACATTAATCTCCCCAAATAAAGTAATAATAATAGGAGAAGAAGAAAAAAAAAACACACACACAAAAAACCCCCACAACACAGAGGACCTGGACAATTGCCAGAAATAAATTAATAACCATCTCCAACAGCCCTGCTGTGCAAGAACAAACTGCTCAACTCCCCTGCCACCCATGTCATTTGTAAGCAAAACTATCCCCAGTTTAGATATCCCCTAAGTGCCCTGCCTGAGACTTTCGTCGATTAATGATGGTATCTCCATCTACCTTCCATACCAGCAGCTGCCAGAAAGTTACTTTACCAAATGCCAACAGTATGCACTGCCACCTTTGCCACTGAAATGTAGACACTACCATGTGGAAGAATGCAGAACATGATAGGTCTGTAAAGAGCAAAATATGTACGTATGTATGAAAGGATGCCTTCAGAAAAGATTTAGTGAGGAAGTTTAAAATGTTAGACCTGGTTTGTGTATGATTTATTGAAGTATTTTAACTGTTTACTTAAAATATTTCTTCAATCATGATTGGAACAAGTATGATCTTGTGTGGTATCAGTAGCTTCAAAGTTATTTTTTTGACCCAAAGTGGAAAGTCAAAAAGATGAGTGTTTGCAATTTCTTCCTGTTAATAAAAAATTTGTGCCTCAAAAATACCGACTGACAAAGCCAGCCCAGAAAACAGCAGCACCCACCAGAAAAGCAGTTATCTCACTGCTAGCACCTACTCCTCAAGCAATGCTCACCTCTCTCTCTCTAGCCTTCAATCACTTGCTGGCATTAGCAAACCTTTGCTCAGGTCTGTGATTTTTCAAAACCCAAAACCCAGGTGACTCTGCTAAAATTTTATCAGGGGTTTTCTTATTTCTGCCCTTCCACACGTTGTAAAGATATCACGTTATTAAAGATATCCATGGATCCAGAAGAGAAGAGGCTCTTACCTTTGACTTGACAGCTAAGATGATCTTAGGCAGGGCAACAATCAGGCATTTCAGTGCAATGGTGAGATACTTCAGCACAAAGTCTGTGATCCCCACGATCCACATCAGGTCAAAAAAGTCCAATCTCTCAATGTTGGGCTTCAAAAATATAAGGCTGAAAAGCATGACAACAAAGTTCAAATAGCAACGAGGAGAACCTCATTCAGGCTTCTTGGTTCCAGCTCCACCCATCATCAGGCATAGGAACTCCAATGAACCACAGTGAAGTTCTCAAAGGCAATAGCAATAAGACATGCAGATTAATCCCACAGCTCCTCTGGGCTGCTGGTTAGCAACTCTCACCTCAACCAAAGCTCCAGAAAGGCAGTGGTCTTTACTTAATGCTACTGACTGGGCTGAAGGTCTGGTCTTTAAAGAAGGGTTGTCCAGCACAGCTTCACACAGCCATGAGCAGGAGCAACTGACCTGAGCAGCAATGAGGTCTGGACTCTACTCACACTGAAAAAATAGGATTCCTCTTCACAGGATTTCCCTACCAAAGCCTCGTGGTAGAAAGCAAAAATTTAAAAAAAATAATAAAATAAATAAAATAAAAAGAAAGGAAAGGTAAAATAAACAACCCAGAAGGAAAAGCCTGAGCATGAATTCAAAATACTCACAACATTGGCACAGCACAACTGGTAAAATTTAAACCCTAAAACAAAAACAGAATCAGAGACTTTACTACTATTTATGCACTAGAAACCAGTAAAGAGCAAGTAAATCAGGAACTGAAAAATAAATGAGAAAGAAGAAAAAAACCAAGCAGTTATTTGTAATGTCACAGGCCTGCCTTGTGAACGGGCACAGGTCCCCACTGTGCAGCAACACATCACTTGCAAGAAGGGGTTTTCCAGTAAGCCATTGCCCTGACTGTTAATAAACCATGCCCTAAACAATGTGTAGGATGCTCCCAGATTGCTGAAATCCTTGTACTTTAGGAGGCTTATCTCATATTTTAAACTATTTCAATTTGTGAGCTTAACCTTAACCTGCTTCCTAAAGCCACACTGCTTCCCTACGGTGCAATAAATTTCTTCTTGGCACCTTCACACCTCTCTGCCATACCTGTTTTCGTGTCTCCCATAAACTGCATGGACATTATCCCACAGCTCACCGCCTCTCATTCTTACCTACGTATGCATAACTCCTCAGCTCTCTCTCTTCTTTACAAACACAGCTTTCCAATAATGAAACCCTAATTCATTAGGAGCAATGGGTGTGGGCAGACCTTGACCCCTCCACTGCACAGGCAGTATTTGTGGGAAGAATCTAATAAGCAGTGAACTAAGTGAAAGAACACACCTGAGAGCTGTCTAGCCATAGCCCAACTGATGCACACTATGCACACTGTATACTCTAGAAAATATTTTCATTCTAAGTTTCTTCCAGTGGGACAAGTAATATGCTAATTGGGAAGGTAATTCATGCAGTTTTAACTAAGAGTGCCAAAACTACTTTCTCAAGTGACTGGGTTTGATAATTGCTCCGTTTCTTCCTACTTATTCTACTAATCTCTCTTTGCTTAAGTATCTTTGCTGGGACAGTACTGAACCAAATCCATGGATACTAACTTTCCTGTATCTGAGAAGTGCTTCAGTCAGAATTTGGAAGTTGAGCCCATCTTAACACACCAGATCCAGATGCCCCCGAGTGCTCACTACAATGAGGTAACACACAGCTGCTTCACAACCAGCTTATCTCCAGTAACAGACTAAAAGCTGGATAGACCAAAAAGAAAATAGGACAGGACCAGTCAAACCTGTTGGTCCATTATCTGCTTCCAACACCCGCTCTCTAGGTTCAGTCAAGGTGTTCAGAATGGAAAAGTCCTGCTATGAAAAACTATCCAACCTGCTTTGATGCTTAAGAAGTGTATGTATTTCAATGGCAAGTATATGTATTTCAAGCAGAAACTGCAGCATATCATCACAGCTGGCTCATTCAGACCTGGTTATGTCACTTATTGATAGGGGCTCAGTCCACTGATAAAAGTGATAGGCATGTTCTTTTCCTCCGTTGGAAGGAACCACAGCGGTGTGACAATGACAGCAAACACAGTGAGCACCCACACTTCCTGAAGACTGAGTAGAAGTGGGCTTCCTCCTTTCCAGCCTGGCAGTTATCACCTGCCTCCATCAGCTGCAATGTAAATTCTGCCCACCTGTTGTACAGCTGCTGGGAGCTGAATGTGTAGAGCAAGTAGAGGGTGTTCCCAGTGAGAAAGGCCAAGATCCAGAAGACAACCAATACTGATCTCTTCTCCTGAGCAACAAAAAGCAGAGAACATAAATTCCAAGTCTCGAGGGCTGCACTGAGCTTCTGACTGCTGAAAAATGCAGGGCCAACCCAGGGGATACAGGGATGCACTGAGAATTCAGTAATTAGTTATTTACATGGGACTAAGACCCACAAATAGGCTGCTGGGTAAAGACACTTAGAACACAAGCAGAAAGGGCTCTCATCACCCAAACCCTGCAAATAGAGCAACTTCAGAGAAATTAATGCAAACACACTGGTGGAAACAACAGCCTGGTTTGCAGAACGCAGTGTTCAAAGTTGGGATCCTTCCTGGGACATCTAAATTCTCCTGATATTTAAAATGCAGCTCGAGACACAGTTTAAAGGATACACTTCCATGTATTATACTGCAGTTCTAAGTTTAAACCTGTGTGGAATGGCACTTTGTAAAAGGAGTGTTTTACAGATCTACCCAAAGTCACTCAGAAGGCTCAGCTAAACCAAAGGTAGCATAGCCCACTGCTGTATGCAGCACATGACTGTTGTCTGAATACATGGAGGCTCTGGAACATGTATTTTTGATTCGAGAAATAATTACAGGTCAAAAGAAGGACAAATTTTACATTTCAAAGCACGAGGAACGTTCCAGATGGAAGCTGGAAGGCAGAAGATCTTGTCCTGGGTCTTGGCCCAGTGTTATTTTGGAGAGCAAAAAAACTCTTGGGAAGGGAAAAAAAAAAAAAAAGCAGCTTTATTAAGATGCATTAAGAATATAGCTGTTTGTAGCTATTCCACAGCCAGGGATGTTAGGCTGAGATTTAAAGCAGCGGATTAATGGGCACAGTGCTAGAAAGACAGAGGTGCAAAGTGCAAGGCAACAGCAATCTATTACACAACTGTGCAATTCATCTGTTCACTGAGCACTCTATCACCTTTATTTCACTGCTACTGGTACATATAAGTGTATGCTTGTGCCACCCGTGTCATTTCTTACAAAAAAGCAATTCTTGTTTTGTGCTTTCGGAGCTGCTGAACTATTTTGCTGACACTGAAGATTGTAAAAACTGAGAAGATCCCCTGGTTTCTTTATATCCTCGCTGTAACATCAGGACAGCATTATAGAGACATAAACAAGTACTGCACCTGCAAATCCTTAATCTGAAGAATGAAACACTAGAGAATTATATCTCATTACTATTTAATGAAATCGATTTCCACTACACACCATGGGAAACTGAGGCACAGAGAAGTGCTTGATGAAGCACTGCCAGCCAGTGGCAGAGCCAGAAGCACGTTTGCACCTCCCTGACTTTTCCCTCTTGCTTTTTTTTATGACCTCCTTTCTCAAAAGCACCAGTGGGGAGAAGTAGGCAGAAGTGAGAATGATGCCACAGTACACAAACTTGACACATCTGTATCTATATAACAGCATTCAACCCTATGTTGCAAAAGAATTTTCGGAATAGACATTTTGTGTACTAAGAGAAATGTTGCTTGGGAGCAAAAGAAAGCAAGATCCTGTGCTTACCTTTAGAGCAACCTGCTCTCGGAGCGTGGAGTTGGCATAGGCAAATGTGCTGGCCATACCAATGCACACAGCAATCCCTGCAGGGAAAGGCACTGTGAGTATACATGGCTAGGTAGGAGGAACTTCAGCCCTAAGCCATCTGATATAAGCACCTTGAGCTCTGAAGAACAGCTACTGAGTAATATTCTGGATGCAGTGGGAATTAAAATAAACCAGGAACTGAAAAATGGCAGTCTGGCCTCACAAAATTCAAATACAAGCTGAACTGAAATGAAGACACCACAATGAGTGCTTGCCAGCCAGCCAAGAACAGTCTCTGCTAACAGCAGGACAACAGGAGTGTTGCAAATTGTGGCTGCACTGTGCAAGCAGAAATCAGCTAGAAGACAGTATTACAGCAGCACTGGGCAGCTCCTAGAGCACAGGGCTCACTATTAAAAGGATGCAGAATACCAAGTTTAAAGAGCAAGACTTTGCAGACATAAATCAGTGGTGGTTTTGGGTTATAAGCAGAGTAAACTGAAGCATCACTGGCTTCCCTATGATGGTAATCTCAGTGTATTACACCCAGTAGTCATTAGTAGCCAGTTTCAGCCATGCCACACAAACCATGTCATAGAACAGAAGGATTAGGTGAGTGCATTTTACATGACCACTGAAGGGCTGAAATGCTCAAGCTCCAATATAGAAACTGGGACAGACATTCTCTAGAGAACTCTGAAGGTGTCGACTGCAAGCTGTAACCACTGATGCTGTTGGGCTTTGATCCTCAGCCCCTACAGGAGAGATTGGGAACAGGTACAGAAAGGATCTCCCACTTGTAGGATAGGAGCAGATGGGATTAACACAGATTAACACAGATGAAAACAGCTTGCATTGGAAGTCAGGTGGAAAAGTAGAGCTTGTTATTCCATGCCTTTTAACACGTCCCCTTCGTGCTGCTATGGGGATAAATGCATCAGACATCCCAGCAAGGCAGAACTTCCTAACCACCCTCTAGTCCACTTCCAACCCCAAAAGGACAGCCGCTTACCAAGCTTATGCTGGAAACAGACTTTAGCCAAGAGGATGAGGATGAAGGGAAGGCCCTTCTGCAGCCAACCAACGACCGCTTTCAGCTCCGAAAGCGCCGGTGCTGGAGTCCCAGCCTGCTCCTCACTGCCTTCCTCAGCATGCCCGTGCCGGTCCCCTCCTGCCATGTGCAGAAGGGACGAACCGCGGTGATGGCTGTGGTGGAAATGATGGGGCTGCTGCCGGTGGTGAAACGGGGCTCCTTCCGCGCGGCCGGCTCCCTCCTCCCTCGGGGCCGGCATCTGAATGAACACCTCCCCACCTCCTGCTGAAGAGCCCAGGACCAAACCCGACTGGAACGGTGTGGCTGTGATGGATCCCGAGGGGATTCCTGCCAGGCCGGAGAACAGCTGCTGTGGTGAGGAAGTCTCAGCCTTCAGGCTTTCAAACACTCCGCTTTCATCCACGCTGGTTTCAGAACTGACCGTTTGGCTCCGGTTTCTGTAGAGGGAGGAGATGAGAGAAAAGTGATTGAATACAAATGAGTGGCACAGAACTCACAGCCCCGTCCTAACAGTATCCTAACATCGCCTTCGTGCACTGCCAGCTGTGTAGTTCTGCAGGTAACGGGTGTGATTTGCTCCTGGAAAGTCACAGCTGCAGGTGCAGGGGCTGGCACTGGTCACGGTGCACCAGTTCCTTCCTCTGAGGGTCAGAGGCACCAGACCATCCCTTCCCCTTTGGAGGAACCAGATAAATAAGGCATCTAATATCTGATTCAGCATCTGTAGTAATTTTAAGATCTAAAGAAAAACATACAGAAAAAAAACACCCAAACCGTGGACCTTCCCACAGTGCAACCAAGACAGGACTCATACATACAAACAAATCAATCGTGCTAATTCAAAAAAATGATCTGCCCCCCAAATATCCCTTCTTTATTTAGGGGTGGTCACTGCTTGCCCCTGACAGCAGCACAAAGGAGAGAGGCAGCTGGAAAAGAGAAGTGTTGAGAGCTGCCTGCGTGCCCCCAGTCCAACAAATACTTCAAAGCTATATTCATGAATCGTGGAAAAAATGTTTTGTTATTATGTTCTCAGCAAAACAGAGACGGATGTACTCATGGACCGACCAGGCAGTGGGCAGAATTGCTCCTGGCACTGATTTGTTGCTAAGTTTGCTGCATAGACTATAGCCGGATTGCAGAAGAAAGTTCTAGCTATCTTCACCCTAACACCAAAAGAAAATGTGCTGTCTTCACCTGAGCCCAATACTGAACATGTGGGAAGTCTGGATGAAAGGGGACAACAGAAGCAACGTACAGAAAGAGCCCTCAGGCAGCAAACGTCCTGCAGACAGCAAATACCTCTTAACTTGCAAATGAAGACTAAAGAATAAATGAAGCACAGCAAAAGGCAAAGCCCACAAGTAAGGCATGCTGCACGTTGCCATCTCTCTTGGTTTTAAGCCTTGGAGACTTCCAGCTCCAGAAATAGTGGTCACAAGCTGAGCCAGCACACACAGCGCCTTCGCTCCCTCTCTCCCACGGGCTCAGAAACCTTCCCCATGTTCCCACAGGGCACAGAGCACTGCCTTCATCTGACTCCAGAGACACTCCTAACCCCCCTGGGCACACCTTCCCACTAAGTAAACTCCTCATAAGGCTTTTTATAGCTACACCCCATTCCCAGTGTCTCTCCACAGCAAGGAGTCAAGTCAACAAGGCACATCTCTCTGGTTCAAATTAACCATGTTGGTCTCACACCTAGGGTTACAACTCAGGGATGTACACACAAGACAGGGATGGAACAGATCTGGGCCTACCTCAGGAACACAAACACACTGGGTGGGACGGATAAATGCAGAAGTATTGTTTGCAACACCACCACCAGGATACACAACTTTGCAGCAGGAAGGAACTAACCAGGCGTATATTTAACAACAGACGTGGATGAAATGCTGAGTCCAGTGAAGTCAACTGAGTCACAATGTCAGTGGCAACAGCATTGTACAGTTAGAAAACCTTCAGCCTACCTCACTGACACGTATTTACCCCCGCCTGCAAAAGCAGCAGAAAATACTTAGCGACTGTTTGTGATCCAGATCTTTCACTTACAATCTCAGCTGAGCCAAAGCAATACAGTTTGTTAGTTCCACCTTAGTCTCATTAATTAGATTAGTTTCTTCTTCAGAAAAAAAAAAAAAAGAAGTCAACACTAACTGTGGGAAAACGCAAGGGGACATTTAGTAGCAGAACAACAAGAGTGGCAAACCTCCCTTGTTGATGTTATAATTACAGAAATGAATTAGGAGTATTCTGCTTCTAAATATTCACGTAAGTGAAGCTAGATGCAGATTCTGGGATGACATAAAGAATCACCCCGACTCTTTATGAAGGCTCTGCTCGTACAGATTGACCTTTCTGGATTGGTGCTCAGAACCCCTGCAGCACTGTGCTGTGGGTTGCTCTTCCAGAGCCTCAAACGCCCTGCTGCCCGAGCCAGCTGTCTGCATGTGTGCCACAGTGCATCACTAAACGTGAAACACTGCAGTTGGCAGCAGCTGATAACCAACATGAAAGAGAAAAGTAAATCTGTCTCGAAACCCAAGCAGAAAACCTGGCTGTATTCCACACACAGGAAGTTTTTGTCTGTCTCACTTCTGAGCTTTTGTCATCTAAAACCAAGAGATGCACCACACACTTAAATCAGAACACTGCCACCTGCAGAGGAAAAGGAAGGAAAAACTGAGGAGGAAGCATTCAAGGCCAGGCTGGATGTGGCTCTGGGCAGCCCGGCCTGGTGGCTGGCGACCCTGCACATAGCAGGGGGTTGAAATTAGATGAGCATTGTGGCTCTTTTCACCCCAGGCCATTCCGTGATGCTGCGTACCTTTCAGGAGGAGCGCTGTCAGTGTTGCTGCTGTGCCGTCTCTGCATTTTCCTCAACACCTTGAAACACAGCACACTCAACATCAACGCTGCCAGTCAGCGGTTCCAGCGTGACTAACAGAGATCCACCGGGCCAGACAGCTGGGAAACCTCTTCAGCTGGTGACATGGCTGCTGTAAAAGCATCTGCTTCTCTGCAAGAGAGGCCCGCAGTTGTTTCTCAGCACACTTGTGAAGAAACAGCTTTCAGACGGCGAATGGGAGCACACGCAAACAGGTCTCCATGTTGGGCAGGAATGAGGCAGACCCCCTTCTGCAGCACAGTGCAGCTCCCCAGGGCGTGCAGCTGTACGGCAGCATGGCCTGCCCTACATCCAGCAGGGCAGCTCCAGCTGGGAGGTGGATCAGCGCGTGCTCTCTGCAGCCTTCCTCCTCTTCTGGAGAAACTTGCAGAGCAGTAAAGAGCAAAACTGAGGGGGAAAAAAGATGTATAAACATTGTAAATGAAAAAGTACAATCAAGGCATGACAACGTTCTTTTAAATAGGCAGCCCATCCCTTTTAGGCCATTAGCAGCCCTGTGCAATGGTCAGAAATAATATCCATGTTTGCAACAGGAACCTGAGATACATGCAGCCCCACATCTGTAGATCACACAGGTAAACTGTGTTGAACTTGTAAAAGGATGAGAAGAAAAGTAACACACAGACTTCCCACCAAGCAGGCTGAGCTGGGACAATATGGGATTTGAGTCACGAAGGACAGAAAACGTCAGGGTTTTAACATGGGATGCCAACTTCTGGACACTGCTTTAGATGTTCATAGAAATACACACTCATACATAAAATACACACAAGTAAACAATCAGCTATGGCAGAAAGAATGTAACTTGCAACAAACGCTATGGAAAAGACACAGGCAGCCATTGGGAGCACCAGAAATGTAACTCTAATCAAAGTATTCTGATAACCTAAATTACCAACACTCTCTTAAATTTCCTTTTAACCTAAACAATAATTGACATGTGACGAAATGGCCAAGGTCCCAGCTGACTGTGCATACAGTGCTCTCCCACCTGTGAGCAACTCTAGGTTCACTGTAATGAAACCTGGAGAACCTCCTATTCCTTCCCAAACCACAAGAAGTCTCCCAAATTGGGACAGCAGAGAGAGAACAGCATTTTAAATGACATGCAGGTCTATGGGGAAATAACTTCAGCATCAGCTATTAAGGGGACTGTGACATGAATGCTAAGTATTGAAGACATGAGGCTCCAAGAGATGTAACCTATTCTATGGACATGATCAGGTACCATGTAAATGGATGTTATCCTGGGCAGTGTGGTTGACATGCCTAAGGGATGGGATGCCATGCAGAGAGACCTGGGCAGGCTGAGCAGTGGGCCCAGGAGAACCTCAGCAAAGCCAAGTGTGAGGTGTGCACCTACATTGTGGCAACCCCTGCTACCAGGACAGGCTGGGGGATGTAAGGATGGAGCACAGCCCTGCCAGAAATGACCTGGGGTTATTGATGGATGGCAGCTGGGCATGAGCCAGCACCGTGCCCTCACAGCCCAGAAACCGACCGTATCCTGGGCTGCATACAGAGCAGTGTGAGCAGCAGGGCGAGGAGGGGATCTGCCCCTCTGCTGTGAGACCTCACCTGCAGGGCTGCGTCCAGATGGGGAGTGCTCAGTGCAGGAGAGACATGGAGCTGCTGGAGCACGGCCAGATGAGGGCCAGGGATGGAACACTGCCCTGCGATGGCAGGCTGAGAGCCGGGGCTGTGCAGCCTGGAGAAGGGAGGGCTGCGGGGAGAGCTGAGAGAGGCCTTCAGTACTGCAAGGGGAGCTGGGAGAAAGAAGAGACAGACTCTTCAGGGCCTGTTGTGACAGGACAAGGGGAAACGGTGTCAAACGAAAAGAGGAAGACTTAGGCGGAATATAAGGAAAAAGTTTTTATGCTATGGGCCTATGCTACGCTACGGGTCTGGTATTAAATGTGGAGGTTGGGTGGCAGCGGGTTGGAGATTCATCATCCCTGAGCTCCCTTCCAACCCCGGCCGTTCCGTGACGGGCGGCGAGGCACCGCCAGGCTGCATGGAGCGGCGGCGCTGCCCCAGCCCTGCAGGCACCCGAGGTCAGGGGACGGGGCTGCGAGCTGCGGGTGCCCACATGCGCTGCAGGGGGGAGGACGAGATGGCCTTCAAGGCTCCCTTCCCACTCGAACGATGCTACGATTCCATTCTTCTATCCCAAAAGACACTCAGCTCTGACACCGACTCTTTCCGGCTTACTTTTCACCTCCCAGCAACAACCGAGCAGCAGCCGGAGGTCTCACGGAGGTTCGCGCATCCCGCATCACGGAACAGCGGCACGCAAGCAGCCGCTGCCGGGCCGTGCCGGGAGCACAAAGCCGCACCGAGCGCCCAGCTAAGGACACGTGCACACGTTCCTTAGGCTCGCAGATGCCCACCAGCGCACCGACCCCCCCTGCACCGCCGAACCCTTCCCTTCCTCCCCCCCGCCGGCCGCCCCGCACTCACCGTGCCGCCCCGCACCGCCCCCAGCCCGGCCGCTCCCCCTCGTTCCACGCACATCCGCGGCTCCGCCCCCCCCCCGCCCCGCAGCCGGCGGAAGCGCTCGGGCCGCGTTCGCCGAGAGCGGCGCCGCCGCGGGAGGAGGCGGCGATGGGGACGGCGGGCTGAGCCGCCATGGTGCCGTGCGGAGCCGTGCTGTGGCGGCGGCTGCTGAGGAAGCGCTGGGTCCTCGGCGTCGTCTTCGGGCTGTCCCTCGTGTATTTCCTCAGCAGCACCTTCAAGCAGGTCGGGGCTGGAGGAGGAGGACGTGCGTGGGGGGGG